GCCTGTATCCCATCTGTAATAATAAATGAGATATTTGCAAAATGTATATAATACTAAAAGGTTTACAGTCCGTTTTTGTGTCTGTTCCCTGATTCTACCTTTCCCATGAGAATAGGATATTTTTCTGATCCTCGTTTTAGAGATAAATAAATTTAGTCTTCGAGAATATAAGTAATTTACCGGAGGTTACTCTCTGAAGCAAGATGCAGGACAAGAACCATACCAGGTCTTCTGAGTAAATATTGCACCCTGTGCTAAGGCCTGCATTAGGTAGATCAGAAAAGGGAAGTGGAGACTTGAGAAATAACAACATTTAGGAAAGCAGTTATGCAATCGTAAATGGAAGAGATCCGAGGGTAAGATGCAACTTTAAATGCAGAATTTTCAGGAATATGTGCATCTTTCAGTGCTAAACTGAATCCTCTATTTCATGGACCAAGATATAGTCTTATTAGGAATCTGGAGGGAACTATTTGCTCTAATAATTTAACCTCTGATTTCTTAGTTGATGCCTTCAGGTAAATAAGATAATCATCCTACTTCCGTATCTATCACACGAAGATGTTGCAAGGATTAACAAATAGTGTGCTGGGAGCTCCTTTGAGAAAAGAGCTATTTGAATGCCACATATCATTAGCAGGTTAATATTATACTTATTTATTCAATTTATCTTCCTGTTTCTCAGAGTCAAATGCAATACCCAGAGACTTATAGAAGGAAGAAAATCTTTCTTTGTCACTCTTGTTGGAATAAAAGAGGGAAAAAAGAGAGGAAGAGAAGGGAGGTCGTTTCTCCCTACTTCCCTCTGGAAGTTTTTGAAAATGAAGTCCAACCGCGTGACCATCCATGGTCCCATGACCTACTCTTACGGCCTCTGAGATTTGTTTCTGTGGTGTTAAACATTGTTTCTTCTCAGGGACATCTTATGTAAGACAGGAACAGAGCCAGTTTCATGGGCATGTAACCTGTTGGGTTGCACAGGGCCCTATGCTCAGAAGGGTTCCATATTTGCCATCTTAAAACTTGTAATAATATTATATTTGAACTTGTGTTTTATAAGTGATGTCTGATGGAACAGTAGAGTATGTGCCAGTGGCTTGGAGCCTTGGCTCATGCACTTTCTCACTTCCTGTCACCTGCCTGTCTCCCTGGACAAGATCATCCTAACCATCCTCTCCTCTGCTCCCTGGTGCCCTAGGAATCATCTAGCTTCCTTTTTCCCACCTGCACCTGTGACCACTGCTGTCCTCCATCCCCAGTCAGGGTACAGGCACAGGTAGGGTCTGAGTGAGCCATGTGTGCTTTGTATCCTCAGGTGGGACATGGAAGCAGCTATCTCTGACCTGGGCTGGCATAGCTGTGGTAGACAGAGGCCAGGTCTTGATGGGAGTGAGCCTCTTGTCCACCCCTGTTTCAGGTACCCAGCATGTCCCTGCTAAGAGGCTGCAGTACCCTTAGCAGTATGCTAAGACCCAAGGGGTTGTCTGCTGTGGGTAGGGTCTTAGAGACCATGAGAAGAGAGAAATACCTAACTTGACTTCCCCAGCTCTTGTGCCTGGTAGGGGCACAGCTCATCAGTCTGGTAGCTATCAGGAAGGAGGAGTGAGCTGCTGGTGAGCTATGTGTGTGCCCTCAGTCGTAAGTGGCAGGGCCTTCATGTTGCTGTGAGGGTCTGCACTCACCTCAGGGTATCCCAGTGCCTGAAATAATGCAATATTTAAACACACCAAACCTTTCATTGTGATAAGTGTACCATAATAATATAAGACATTAACAATGAGGAAATTAGAATGTGGGATATGTGGGAAGTCCCTGTGTTATCTTTGCAATTTTTTCTGTCAGTCTGAAAGTATTTTAAAATAAGTATATGAAGAAAAAAACACCATGACAAGTTGAAAGAGAATGCAGAAGAAAGGAAAAAACTTTATATTTTAGTATCTTTTATAGTAATTTTACTGCTTTTTGAACAAGGGGCCCTGCACTTTCACTTTGTACTGGGCCTTTCAAATTATGCAGCTGATTCTTACTGTAAAATCCCTTATTGAATATGCAATTCAGTTATCTCCCTTTCTTTTCTTCCTCACACTCTTTCCTACTTCTCAATGCCAGGCCTTAGGATTTCTCCGATTGCCATTAATAATTCTCCTATGCATCTATCACCTACTAAGAACTGGCTATCATCCTAGGCACTTCACATACTTTATCTTATTTCATCCCTTTATAATTTTATGAGATAAATATTTTTATCCTTCTTCTACAGATGTACGAAATTGAGGTCTAGGACCACACAGTAAGTGATAGAAGAGAAAGTCAATATTCATGATTCTTACTCCAAATCCGGTGCTTTTTTTTCACAGTGCTACAGATGGACCATTCAGCCTTCAGGTGCCCAGGTATTTGTAGGCTGCTTAGGCAATTTGGTTTCCATTCCTCCAATTATTTGCTGAGTATCTCCTAGGTGCTAAAGCTACAAAGTTATAGCAGGGAGGCCAGTCCTGAGCTGCTCCGGTCATTTTCTTTAATTGCATTCATAGGTAGCAGGTATTTAATATCCCCCTATTTAGTACACTCTGACCTCTGTGCCCCTGGCTTAGTTACCATGATAGGAAGACTATAAAGTGGACACAAAGTCTTGACTGTGGATTAAGAGTTTGGAAAGTGACACTCTAGCATAACTAACATTGCTTCAAAATGTATTAATTTTTGCTTCAACATTTTGATGGGTGATCTGAAGAAGAGAGACAATGGAGCAAGGACTCTTCATATCCATTATCTGTTCACCCACATCTCACGCTGTACCAACTCTAGAAGTACATGCATGCTTGTTCCATACAGTAGACAATGAATGAGCTCACTGGTATATCTTTGAAGAGTCCTTCTTTTTTAGTACTTCTGCGGGTATAATTACTCTATGTATTTCCTTGGTCAAGCTTGAGTAGAAATCAGATCCCTTTTTTCCTCTTCATGAAGGAGAAATGTGATGTATCATCTTGCAGTCATTTTGCATATCAGCAGATTCAAAAGGCTAGGAGCAAGCTGCTTTCTCCCCACCGTCCTGGTGAATGTCTGATATTAGTTACAGAGAACCACAGGTTGTGATGTGGAAGACACGAAGGTAGTAAATCCCCAGCAGCTGGGAAGTCATCGGACTTTTTCCCTTATTAGAGGCAGGGAGGGTTCTGTCTCTTCAGAAAAAGCTTCCTTGGAAGAAGTGCTCTTCTGGAAACAAACAGAGGAGGCAAGGGGGTGTTTTGGACACACTAGAGAGTAAGTCAGAGAATCTTCGTGTTGAGGCAGCATTGCAAAATTGAAGAGGAAGAAAGGAAGGAAGGTATGTGTAAGTCTGACTTGAAATGAGTTTTATTAAAAACACCTCAATTCTTGTCTGCACATTTTTGAAGAGTGTGAAAAAAAATGGAGGAAGTTACCTCCCGTGGTTTTGTGGCTTTTTAAGTATGACATACAGGATATTGAATTTAACCCCTGTTTATCCTGAAGTGTATGAATATTTCTGGGATAAACAAAGCAACTATTCTTTGAAATATGCATCTGTGGCCAAGTGATTCCAGTTACTTGGAATCACAGTTCTGTTGATTCTCTTTTCTGCTTCAAGTATTTGCGCACCACAGACATAAGATTATTCATACAATAATTTTTAAAAACTATGTGGTCTTGCTAGAATTTCTGTATAAATATATGTCTTTTAATTATGGCAGGAATGTTATATTAGAACTCTATATGAGATTTTACATTTTATTAGTGCCTATTGTGTGTTTGTATTTCAGAAAGCTTGGTAGATAGAGTTCATGCTGTTTCTCTCAAAAACAGTCCTGTATGCAGGAGAGTCCGACAGCTTTTTACAACTCTCTGTAGCTTCATTAATTCATCTAGCATCTATAAAGTTAATTCAGTGTTTATTAAGACTGATTTCTTAAGCCAATAACCTGAAGTATTTTTTAGACTCACAAACTTTTAGATGTAAAATGACATGTTAAGGATATGTAAAAAGTTTTAATTAGCAAAAAAAAAAAAAAAAATGTGGTCTTCACAACAATATTTTTTGTATGGACCTCCAACAATATTTCCAGAAAGTCTAGAGTCTTAGGGCAGCAAATCAGAACCCCCAGCTTTAATCAAAATAAAAATCTGCAGTGTTCACATCTGGCTCCACCTGAAAGTCCGGTTCAGAATTTCCCTGTGATCCTGGCACTTGCAGAAGGGAAGTTTTAGCTTTGTTTAGTATAACAAGAGCTGCAGGACTCCCAGGCCAATAAACGTGTTCACGTAAGACTCCAGACAGCTTCTTTTAGACTGGAGTCTTATCAGGGAGACCTCATTTTCCCTCTAATTAAAGGGAAGATTTCAGGGAGAGAAAGGAATAGCCCATGCCTCTTACTTGTGCGAGTCAGTGTTCGCTGAATTAGAAGTTCTTCCAACATGAACACATTCCCCAGCATGAATGACTTGCCTAGAATTTGAACGTAATCGTCAACCAGTTTTCGCCCAAATTTTGACTGTTTCATTTAGAAGAAAAGCAAAATGAGAAAAAGCTTTCCTCATTTCTCCTTGAGATGGCAAAACACTCAGAAATGACATCACATACCCTAAAGAACCCTGGGATGACTAAGGCAAAGAGAGCCTGAGAAAACTCTTTGCTGCTTCTGCCTTTAGTTTTAGGACACATTTATGCAGATGAGCTTATAAGAGACCGTTCCCGTTCCCTCCGCCTTCTTCCTCAGAGGAAGTTTCTTGGTAGATCACCGACACCTCATCCAGGCGGGGGGTGGGGGAGAAACTTGGCACCAGCCATCCCAGGCAGAGCACCACTGTGATTTGTTCTCCTGGTGGAGAGAGCTGGAAGGAAGGAGCCAGCGTGCAAATAATGAAGGAGCACGGGGGCACCTTCAGTAGCGCCGGAATCAGCGGTGGCAGCGGTGACTGTGCTATGGACAGCCTGCAGCCGCTTCAGCCTAACTACATGCCTGTGTGTTTGTTTGCAGAAGAATCTTATCAAAAATTAGCAATGGAAACGCTGGAGGAATTAGACTGGTGTTTAGACCAGCTAGAGACCATACAGACCTACCGCTCTGTCAGTGAGATGGCTTCTAACAAGGTAAGAGATGACCTTTTTATTCATTAAAGTGTGATCATGCAGGGAGCTCTAGCTCCCCTCACCTCTGTCTGCTGCAGAGTGTACCAGGGAACGCTACCAACCCTAAGAATGTGTTTCTTGCTTTGTCTAGAAGATTCTGTTCCAAAGTGTCACACTCTACTTGTGTCTTGATGCTACAGCAAAAGTTTAAAATCCTCAGTACACTTCAATTTCCAGAAGCCAAATTTCTCTCTTACCGATGCAATTTGGAATAGGTTTAAGGTGAGAGGTGTCTGTCTGTAAAGCTTCCAAATCAATATAAAATGGAAAGTGCTTTAAATTTTTTTTACAATTATCAGGAAACTAAAATCTGAGTGAATCTTGCTGCATTGCAATCAGGTGTCACATATTTATTTTTAGACAAGAAAGTAGTTTAACCTTCATATATCAATTGGAAAGAATGTTCTGCATTCAAGTTGGATAAATTCCCTCTAAGAAGAAGGACATCCTGGGATTTTCTAAGATTTCTTTTGTGATGCTTTCATGATCTAAGATAAAAAAGAAACAATGTGCTTTGTCTCCAAAACCAGAAGTTTTCTTTTGTTTAAGTTTGCTGATTTTCATAGTGAAATCATTTGAAATTGCTTCATGCATACTGCCCTCAAAATGGTTTTATTTACAATCCCTAGACAAAGCTTAATGTTGAAGAGCCTTAATTATCTATCATTGTATCATTTGTTTAATTAACACCTGGACTTAGAGTGCTAATTTATGTAGTGATAGTTGTTGCTTTTTGTTTGTATTTTTACCTTGGAGAATATTATATTAAATACATATTGTTATAAAGTTATACAAAGTTATATATGTGTGTGTACACAGGCACACACACACACATACACTTTGTTAAAAAGCCTTACACCATACCTTTATAAGTGCACATTTCAGAGTCCCAATCATTCTAGCCTGAGGTATCGTCTTGTTGTCTATGTTTCTGGGGCTGAGAAGAGATTTTGTTCCACACCTGCCAGCATGCCCTTTCCAGCCCTGAGGTGCACCAGTGAGTGTGTGTCCCTTCTCCAGTTTTCCTGGGGTAAAAGTACCACCTTTGGATCAAGGCTTGCTGGCTGCCGCTCAGAGGATCTGCGCAGAGGAAGCAGTGTGTCCTCAGGAGATCCTCAAGGAGGGGAGGGGGAACTCTTCCTACTTGGAACTTTTTGTTTATTGGTTAATGAAAGGGTGAAAATAAGTCCCTTTCTAAAATTTTAGTTTAGAGTTTAAGTTGGAAGGGAAAAAAAAGAAAAGAACACATTTGAGGATTAACTATTTATTGACTTTTCTCTGAAGGTCTCAATTGAAGGTTAAACTCAGGGATTTTCCAGGCTGGGGTAAAGCTCAACCAACTGCTTCCCTGTGAGGAGGGCTTTGCTGTGTGACTTCTCCAAATCACACTGGGACTCCATGTAGAAGGACTTCCACAAGGCTTGAGCCTACTTTGGAGCGTTAGCAGACACTCTGTTCCCTGTATTTTGTGATAATTGACGGCTATGCAAGATGTAGATCCAACATTTATGGGGTAGTTTTTCAATAGCTTTCACCATAGAGAATATGGCAAACTTCAGTAGTCACTAAAATATGCTAACTAGAGTCACCAAGATAAAGCAGACAATTAACTCCAAGAAGAGAAAAAGAGCACCCCCTGAGAGACTACAAGTTGCCATTAATTTTCATTTTGAGTGTCAATATGCTGTAGTATTCTAATCCTATTCATGCCTAGAGTGCTGGAAATAGACATTGACTGTCTTGCAAATTTATTAAAAACAATCTTATTCAGCATAGTAGTTAGTAAGTCTCTGAGACCAGGCACTCTGTAGATACGGGTGAGGATTCCAATCCCTCAGGCTTCCGCTCCTCCTTTATGGTGTTGTGTGCAGGAAGCAATGAAAGTTGAATAGAGCTAACCCTAACAAAAGGGCTAACCTTCAATGCTGACACAGTTAGCTTAAGTAAAAAGCATGCAGCCTCAGTCATTTTCTAGATCTACAGTGGAAAGATTGTCAGGCAAAGCAATTATTTAGTGCATGAATGATGCCCAACTGACAGCTAAGAATAAATTTTAAAAATATCTCTTTTTACTACCTTTTAAAAGATTATTGATTATTCAGATAATTGTCTCAGGTTAAACTTAAGCATAACATGCACCATGACACGTATGATATAAGGCAATGAGGCCAGGGTGTGGTGGCTCACACCTGTAACCACAGCACTTTGGGAGATTGAGGCAGCACTTTGGGATTGCTTGAGCCCAGGAGTTTGAGATAATGCAATGCAAACATTTTTGTGACCACCAGAAAGAAATTGATCTGCACCCGTTCTTTGGGAACTGAATTATCCGTGGCAAAAAAAAAAAAATTATATTGCATATTCACTTTTCAATGTTGTTGAAACTATCTGAGATTTCCATCCAAGTTGAAGTTGACATTTTAAAACTTTATCCTGATCATCACTCCCATTACTATGTAGTCTTATTTGGCCATATTTTGCTTACCCTTATCAACTAAGGAGCCAGGGTAAAAGTCTCTGAGTTTAAGATCTGGAAGTGATGTGAAGACATGTTATAGAGGGCGTGTACCTATCAGCAGTATCCACTACATTTTTGCAAAAACTCTGTGTTCCTAGTTCTGTTTCAGCTAAGTGCCCATTAAGTTTTGTTTGCAATATCTGATCTTAAGAATGGTGATAGGTGAAATCGTGTAATGCTGAGGGGTATTTGGGAATTACATAAGTGCAGTCTACATGCCACTGGTAGAGAGTTAACTGTGTTTGGTGGAGGAAGAGCAAGCATCTTTCATCTTTACTTCATCTAGGTAGGGTTGTGCTTTTTCAGTTTGTTTGTTTTCCTTAATCCTTTAAATTCTGAAGAAAACTGAGTGACTCAAATCTCCTAAAAGACTTTCTCAAATGTATTTCATAGCCCAGAGAGTTAGATGAGAAACATCGTCCTCTCTTTGGCCCAAATTTCTCTGATCCCTTAATGCTGGCCATGGTCCAAATGGAATTCCAGAATTTTAGAGAACGATGCTGCCAGGTACTTTAGTCTTGTAAATTATTTTCCTCCAAGAATTACTAGAAGATGGAATAAGTTCAGCAGAAGTTTTACAAGGCAATGGTATTGTTATTTAACATGAAAAGGATGGCTAGTGAACCTCCTGCCAGCTGCCCAAATTCGATTAGACATGTTAGAGCTAGCTGTTTTGCTTAACGATAGATTGCCTTCTTAGAATTGTTCATTAATTTTGTGTTTCAATTTTCATCACCTCCTGAATTAGAAGAATTGTCTTACACTTCAGCAAAATGCATCAGAGCATGAGTTCCTCAGTGGCAAAACAGTCAGATGTTTTGAAAACAGGATGCTTTGGCTCTCCATTATAAAAAGAGGAACGGAAAGAGAAACAGTATAGAAAGGAAGAAAGCAAATAGCCTCAGCAGGGTCCCCAGCCCAGCAACGGCATAAACAGTGACCTATCTTCCTGACCTTCACTGTGGCTCAGTTCCTGACCTCGTGTCACCAAAGCCAACCGACGTCATTAGAGGAGGATAGGAGGAATGGCGCAGCTGCTGTGAGGGTGACTAGAATTTCCTGTCTCCTTCCTGACAGACGCAGTCAGAAAAGTACAGGGTTGCAACAACAGTGGCTGAGGAAGGAGCAACCCAGAACAATCCCAGGGAGGCTAATTGTGACTGACGGGGAATGGGGAGGTGTTCCTTCCCTCATTGTACTGAGAAACCTAGTTTCTCACCTAGAATTTTCAGGTGAAAAACGTCAAAAGGGTCATTCTTACCCAGAATGCTAAATGTTTTTCAAAGGATGAACATGCTGTGGTATTCAGAAAGGAGCTATGTTCAAGCAACTAGTCACTGTCTTCACTTCCCCCACAAACGCCCTCCACTGTCCTTTTCGTTCTCCATTGGTTTTGCTCTGGGACTGTTTTATATGTAGTACAAAGGTTGGGTGCTGCTGGGTGAAAATGGATATTCTGTTGTTGAAAAGAGTGGCCCTGTGTATTAGTACTTTTTTTTTGTTTAGAATGAAGTGTTAGGACCTAGCACTTGAATAAATGTTTGCTAAGATAGAAATGGGAGATAGATGGTCCTTTTTCTCTTAAGGCATTGTGAAGTTGGCTACAGATAACCATCATGGGGAAGTGAGTCCTCCTGGCTATGCAGGCTTATTTTTCCAGTTCTTCGGGTGCAGCCATACTAGAGTACTAAACAGGGAGCACGAAGGCAACTAATTGCCAGTGCTTTTGGGTGTGCGGGATAAAGTCACACAATTCTACCAGGCCCCAAGCCAGCTGGGAATTAGGCTGCATGACACTGGATGGTGATCATGACAGGCTGATTGCCCTAATGAGGGGTAAACCATTTTGTATTTAACTGAATAATCAATAACTATGGAAAATGCCAGCTCCTGCAGAACTGATAGGAAATAGATCTTACTGGCCAGTGGATTCATGTTAGAGCTCCATAAGAGAGAAGGTAGACAGGTGTTCAGTCCTTGAAAGGAATATTCATGCCACTTTTGCCTAAAATGTAATGATATGATTGCAGCAGTGCCACCCTAGCATAAGATGGATCCTTTTCCTGGGCTCTGTGCTGTAATCAGAGGGCCTTAGCCTGGCCTTCCTTCTGCTGCCCTCCATCCCAGGAAGTGAGGAGTTGGCCGGGCCAAGGGAGCAGCTTTGCTCCCCTCTCTAAACTACATTTTGCATCTGCTGGACCCCCACATTCTCTGTCCAGATGGCTTTGAACCCACTTCCCAGCCATACAAGCCTCTTCCTGGAATGTGCTGCAGGCATACACACCCTTAGACCTAAGGAGTTTAACCAAGAGGCAGCAATGACAGGTGTGAAGACACTTGTGTAGAAGGAACTTAGGCAACCAGGTGGTGGTCCAGGGCTCACACCAGCTGCTCACAGGTCCCTGGAGATGGAAGGGCATGGGGAAAGAAGAGGGCCAACCCA